TGAGTTGCCTTTCCATTTGTAGGGGCACTAAACTTTGTACTTTCAACACCACTGCCCTTCTCAAAACTAGAATGGAATTGGCAGTGGGTTACTTAGGGGGCTTATTTGCAGCTCAGTCTGTAAAACCTCATTTCCTTGGGAAACAAGTCCTCTGTTAAAAAAAAAAAAAACAACCCACCAATAATCAAACAATTGTAGCTATTTAACCTCAAGAGCAATCATGAGTTGCAATTAAATGTATGTTTAGTTAAACAAGCTAAACTAAGCACAGTATCTAGACTACAAAGAAGATTCAAAGTAGGTGTAATTTATTCTCCTGAATTTTCATGTCAGTTTTTAATGTTACCGCCGATTTCTCTTCCACCTGTTTTGTCTCAAAGTTCGGCACTGATAAACTGGGAAAGTAACTTTTATCAGAGAAATATCAACCTGTAACATACAGAAAATAGTGAAAATTGCACAAAACAAAATGACTAGTTGCATTGTCTTGTTTTTTAGGAAAATGTAAAACAAACTAATGGTTTGCTGCCACTTTCTTCTGATTGGTATGTGAAACATACACAGCAGTATGTGGACACTTGAGTTTGCCTTTGAAATGTTTCTGGTATCCGATGATGAGAATGCCCCAGTGCCCTGGACTGCTTTTAACAGCAACACCTAAAGAAATTCAATATGTGCATACAGTCCCAGCCTGTTGGAGCAGGCAGTGTTGTCCTTTCCTCATCCAAATAATGTCATCTTACAAATTATGTGTGGATACTGAGACACCTATGCACTTGTTGGCCCTCTGCCATGCATAAGTTCCTCTACCGTGTTTCCTGAGTGTTGGTAATTTGCATGCCTGGGTGTCGTGTGGCAGACAGAAATGGTAAATGATAATGATAATGTTCTGGGTTCAAAACTAGCTGCAAATGACAAGTGACAGGTTAGTTCAGTGCTAATTAGTTTCCTTTGGAAACTGCACTGGGGAAGCTGGCTACCTACTTACCTTCCCTCTGCCCACATTTTGATGTCTCTTTATAGGATGGCTGCCTCGCTGTTACCGCTCCTTCAAAGGGAATACTAGGAGTAGAAGGTAGGAGAGGGATAAAAAGTGAAAAGGAAAGGATGCAAGCACACAAAGAAGAGGAGGGAAAACAGTGGAAGACTTCGAAAGACTGGAGACAATAGGCAGAATGGGGCAGAAGAAAGATGCCTAATATTGGTACTTATTCCACCCCAAGAGAGGAAGGGCTGACCTTCCTGGAAGAGCAAACAGAAAGTCTGGATTGTGACTACAGGCCAGCCAGCTCTGATGCAGTTTCGGCCATGTGAGGCTATCAAAGTCTGTATAGTGCTCCCTCACTCGCCCTCACCGCATTTACACATGCTTCTTGAAATCGCGAGTGTGGATCACACAGAGACTGCCTTTCCTCACATTTCAGAACTTTGTGGAGAGAACAGTCGGTTCCTCTGTCATTAAAAATAAATAAATAAAACCAACCTCCAACACCCACACTATACAAGAGTACATGCTTAGCATATATAGGCGTGCATTCTTCAGTATTGATGCACCTGGCCACTTCTGAGCCATCTTCCAGCGT